AATAGGACCAAAATATCAATAATATAAAATCATTATATCCCAAATTTATTATCTAATATCTTCTTTAAAAAAAAAAATATGTTTCACTGAATCTGCCCCTGGTCAATGGTAGCTCAAGTGCATCTGTTCTACATTGGGTATTGCAGGTGCTATGGACATTTTCTTAGTTTGCAACAGATTTTATTTATTTATTTATTTATTTTAAAGATTGATACAATTCAGGGTTATGTATATAAATGTTCATTATGCAGTTACCCTTGTTGATGAGGTAACAGATTTTATAACAAATTTTAAGAAAATGTTGGAAGGAAACCTTTCTTCCAATAAAAATTTATCTCATTTCTTGTTCTAGATAATTATGCTAATATGTAAAACTGAGAAACATAAAGGAAGAAAGTTATTGGGGACTTATTTTTCTGTTATGCTTTTATTTTGGGCTTATTCAAAAAAGAGGCTTCTTAGGACAATTGCCTGAGCATTACACAGAGTGGGTGGTGATTTTGTATATACCGCAAATTTTTCTTAGATATGAGAAACAAGATTCTGGGTGAAGTCAACAATGGCTGCGGTGTGAAGCATTTTCAGTAAAATATGGTAACTCATTAACATGAGCAAAGCGTGTGTTGTAATTAGAGTTTAAGTTGCAAAACATGCTGTGAGTACAGAAATCCATCATCAATTTTTTCCAAATTAATTACCTAGAAGAATGTTAAAAACAGAGAAAGGAAGAGCCAAAGCGAAATGAACTAGGAATCTGTAATGATTATGGGCAAAGCATGATTGCACATACATTGCAAAATTCAACTTTTGGTTTATTTCTCCCTAAACCCCAAGGTTTGGGCTATACACATTTTGTGTAGAAGATAGTGTATGTGAGTGTGGGTGTATGCATGCACATATCTATCTGTATGTCTTCTAGAACATATACTTTAATTGAACAGAAAAATCAATTGGGTTCACAAGGACTTTGATATCATTTTTTTCTTCAGATGAATCAAAGCTTCTCCTTCAAACCATAGACTCGTTTATAGAAATGGATCAAACCTGTAATCTGTCCTAAACACTCAGCTGATGATTATACAGGATTCCAGGGCAATCTTCTTGAATGAGTTTTGAAAGTTATGTCTCCCTGTCAGGGAGAAAAAGAACGACTAAAGAAAAGACTGAAGAAATTGAATATAAAGGCTCACATGAAATAGGAAAACTAGCCATGGTATACAAGTTCAAGAAATGTGGCTCTAAGGAACATTAACAATGCAAGCATGAAAAGAGTGTGTTCATAAATTAATATAATTAGTATTTTAACTCAATGTAGTCGGTTTTGAGCATTTAAGGATTATAAAGTTTGGAGGAAGAAATACAACAAATTCCTCTTCCCTAGTAATTTCTAATTCATCATAAACTGCATGAACAAACTCCTGATGAGTACTTAACAGACTAGGGAAGAAGAGAAGAAACAATCCTACTTTCAGGACTCACACTTGAAAAGGTTTATGTCGATTAGGCTGTAAAACACAGGATGGTCACATCTTCCACCTGGGAATATACCTGGAGGTACTCAAATCATTCTACAAAAAAGATACTTGTGCACACATGTTTATCACAGCACTATTCACAATAACAAAAACATGGACCCAACCCTGTTGTCTATCAAATGTGGACTAGATAAAGAGAATGTGGTACGTATACACAATAAGTATTATGCAGCCATAAAGAACGACAAAATTATGGACTTCACAGCAAATTGGATGGGTTTAGAGTACATCATACTCAGTGATCTATCACAGAAACAAAGAAGTAAATAGCACAGATTGTCACTCATCAGTGGATCCCTATCACAATACTACAAGAGAGGGATGGGCAGTAGCAGGACACGACCAGAGGAGGGGTGAGAGACAGTAACATCATTAAGGGTACCTGGTCCTAAATCAGGGGAAGTTTGGAAGCCCAAACTTCACCTGCACATAGATTACTTATGTATCTGATCCTGATTTGTACCCCAGATCTTTATAATAAAATAAAGTAAAAAAAAAAAAAAGGCAAGATGGTCAAAGGAAGGTGGAAGGCAGATACAAGATGACAGAAAGACTGTAGGTCAAATTTTAGCTATTTAGACATCTAGAGATTGGAGGACCCAGGAAGCTGTTAATGAGGCATTGAAGTCTCCAAAGGTAAAAGAAGAAATCATATAGAACTGAAGGACCACTGCTCATTAGTTGGTTCTGGAGTTTTCTGATTTCCAAATTAAAGAAGCTTACAGACCGCTATTTCTTATTTCCAACCCTTCAGGTGCCTCTGTCGATTATAATGAGCAATTATTATTACAGGTCTAGTGTAAGACACAGAAGATGTTCAGAAATCCACCTCCCTAGAGATGGTATAATCAACTGGTACCTAGACAAGTAACGTCCACTTAAAGTTAGTGATCTCCAACCCACACAGGACGATATCAAAGGACAGTACTCAAATTCTTCATTATGTTATTTTAAGAACTAGCCAACCCTTAGATGCATTTCTGATAGAAAGTTTTTAGAATAAAAACAATTCACCCATTAATACAGAAAGGTGCCTAAAAATCCTGCCTCAAAGACATCATTTGGGAACCCCTTAGAGTACTTTTCAAATGTAAATATCCACATTTAGCCTCTACCCTGAAAAAAAAAATGGTTTAATTGGTTTTTCTGTTTGGAAAGCATAAGATTAGGGCTAAAAAAGAAAAGAGTAAGACATTTTTAAAAATACTAATTAGATTTCAGATAAAGTTAATCTACATTTCAATTTTACCAGACAAATTTACACATCTATGCAGCCCCGCAAAAGAAAAATAGTATAAAGTATCTATTTTACTTGGTGTCATTTGACATTAGTTAACCCATCTTACCCCAATTTTTTCAGACTTAACATATGTATCTAACAATTCTCACATTAATAATTAATATTTATATGATTGAAACAAAATGAATTTTCATGATTTCTTCTCCTCTTTTGTTCTCACTTAATTAGGAATAAATTTTGTTAACATTTCCCTGAGTTTCACTTATTGTTGAAATCACTTGAGGAAAATAGAAATCACACTTCCTTTTTACTACTAGACTGCTACCACACATTTTAAAAGATCATTCTTTGTATTTGCAATTCAAAAGCAGAGGAAACAACTAATGTTAGTATCATGCAAAGAACATATAATTTTCTTGATTTCTCCATCAAAGTGGCTTTAAAAGAATTCTATCTCAATGATGCTTTGATAGAAGAAGCACAGTTCGAAATTCCACTGTGCTATGTGAAAATAAAAAACCTTTTAAGTGTCCATGGCGCCCCCTAATGGTAGAAAAGCAAAAATATCTAGATATGTATGTACTTCATATTTCTGTCAATTAATTACACTTTATAGAACACTTTCCCCAGACGAGTAGTGCTCAATATTATGTTTTGTGTAAGATCACAGAATGAACTGACAGTAATAAAAATATCAGCCATTGTTAAATTTCTGGCATTTAATCCTATGAATGACTCCTTGCTATTTTAATTAGTTATTCAATATTTGGAATTCTTCCCTTTCCATAAGTTTAGGATAAATATGAATATGTTAATCTCACAGACATATACTGCATAATATGAATCAATTCTCTATAGGAATAGATCCTGATTTTTCCCCCACAATTGTTACTACCTGATTTATTTACAAACTAAACAAGTCTCAGACACCTTTACATTTAAACAGTCACATCCCCAACAGCACTGTCTTTTCTGATCACTCCGTGTGTCATGAAATACCTAATATAAGAAGGAAACTTAACTCCAAAGGGCATTTTGTGCAGTTTTTCCTGATAAATCAAAGAATAAATGAATATGGTCATAACTCATGAAATACGTAAAAACTCTGTCACAGAAAAGTAATTGTGGTGAATGATGATTTACATGTTTGTCTTTTTCCAAGAATACAGTCTCATTTTATTCATGTTTGTCTTTTTCCAAGAATACAGTCTCATTTTTATTCATGTTTGTCTTTTTCCAAGAATACAGTCTCATTTTTATAGTAAAAAGCAGACTATAACAGAGAAAGAAAGTTGATGCACTGGTGAAAGACAGTGAGAAGGGAATTATACAAAGAATAGGACATAGCATTAAGAAAGAATCCAAAAAGAACCGAACAATGCAGATGGGAAAAAAAAGAAAATAATCAGAAAAAAAATCAATCGATAATAACCATATGCATTTTTACCTGTTAACACACAGATAACTAATAGCTGATCTTTATAACATAAAATTGTCTTTCTAAGACATTCATCCAGAAGTCGGCACACATAATCCAGTCATTCTCCCACTTACCTATAATAAACTGTTTAATTTGTTAGGAAATAATATCCTATTCCCTAAAGACACTATTGTTTCTTTTTTATTGATTGTCTTTCCTTTCTTTAATTCTTTTACCTAACTCATGTATTACAACTGATTACCTGCCTATATTTCTTTTTATTCTAGCATATGCTATCTAAAGCCTACATTAATTCCAGAACCACAAAACATTTGCTCAGAAGTTTGGGTTACCATAAAAATACTCCAACTCTTTAAGAACTTCCACACTAATTTCATTCATTTGTCCTGGAGTTTGTGCTTAAATAGTAGAAATAACAGATCCCATGTTTCACACAATCAAAATGCCAACTTTTTGGAGCGGGGGAATGAAAGGAAATGAGAGAGAGAGAAAAAATGACACCGGGGATCTTTTCCAGGACGCTGTATATGGCAGTGTTTTGAATGACTCCTTCTGTGCGTCAGAAATCCAAAGCAGCAGCAGCAATTAGGGAAAATCGTCACTTTCACTCAAGGTTCAGGAGTGGGGGTGGAGAGTGGGGGACAAAGGAAGAGGGGAAGTGGAAGTGGGCAGAAGAGGGGAGGGATACAGGTGATGGCAGGGCACATCCTGAGAAGATAATCCCTGTACAGACATGACATCATCCTCTTGGGTATACATATAGGGGATGGTCACAGCATCTCTCATACTTCTCTCACTTTCAAAGACAGCTGAAGGCAAGAGAGAAAGCGCAGGAGAGAGCGCCCTTTGGTGTCTCTGACTTTTATGAACTTGGCTTGCTAGAAGGCTGAAAGAGACAATGGCAGGAATAAAAACCCAGCTCGTATGCATGCTACTCCTGGCTTTCAGCTCCTGGAGTCTGTGCTCAGGTAAGTGAAGCTGCATTTCACAACCCCCCTATGTGATTTATTTTTCCTCTTTTGCAGTGTGTTGCTACTTACGCTAACGTATCCAGGGAGAAGAGTTGCTTCCTCTTATTCAGAATTTGCCTTTCAGTGATAGAAACTGTGAATATCATCTTTCTCTGTCTTTATGATAAGATTGAGGTTTATTCTTATTATTTTTTTCATCTGCAAAGCAATAAAAGGAATTTCACTGAAATGCTGCATGACCCCTTTGGGCATGCAACCACTAGAGAAAAAGAAAAAAACAAACAAACAAACAGGAAGCTTTAAATGAGGCTAGTCATTATCTAATGAGAAATGCAGAACCAGTGGCTGTCAACTTGCAAACTTACCACTAATAACTACTCCATTCAAATGTTTTATTCTCTTCCTCATACAACCACTTAGGAAAAAAAATGATTTCTCCCCCCTTATAATTATCCAGAAATTATCTTCTTTAACTGTATATTTGTGTTAAGAAAGCAAATACAGTGAAAATTGATGTTTCATGAATAAATGACAGGAATATTGTTTGTACAAAATTATTTCTAGGAAGATACAAGAATGCTTCAAGCTTTTTAAGAATGCATTTTACATAGTCTAACAGAAAGGCTGTTAATATAACTGGTATTTTTTACATGCCATTTAAAATGATAAAAAATGTAATTGGAAACTTGGTATTCTTGTATTAAAATAGATGACTTGGATTTAGAGTGCTTTGTAAGTCACATATTACTAAATATCTGTCAACAACTCACCTTGAAAATAAGATTTAAATTTTAAAAAGCAACATGAAATATAACAATTGCAATCACTATTTAATACTTAAGAAATATTTGAATAATCACATCAAAGTGGAAAAAAATCCTTGGGACACTAATGCAGCAAAAATAATCTAACCTGTTTAATGCTTTTATATATCGTAAATTTGAAAGTAAAAGGTTTAATCCAAACTTATGCTATAAATTGATTTAAACAATAAAATTCAAATCTTACAGAAGATATGCATGTGATTTATGAAAAAATTAAATTATTTTAATCATTAGGAAAGAAACTTGAACTTCTAATTTTGCAATTCCTTTATGAGAGAAACACTGACTTTTCAAAAATTATGATTTTACCTGATAGTTATAGGAGATTGAAAACTGCACTAATGGTAGGTGAAAAAAATGGTAGGTGAAAAACTGCACTAATGGTAGATGGATTATTGATTAAGCATTGAATATATTAATGCTAGAAACTACTTACTGTGCTAACCCAAAAGTTATAAGGAGTTCGGTAAGCATTTATGGAAATGATTCATGGAATTTGCCATTCTTTAAAAAAAAAAAAACAGCTATCTCTAACAAATAGAACCGATCTCTCGTGTGATGTAGTTTCTAGTTAAAATTTAACAAATGATTTCTCCAAGTGTGACACTTCTTTTGAATGATTGTATAGTGCAAGGAAGATAGAATCATTTTTAACTGTCTTGTTTTTGAAAGTAAGGTCAGTTAGTAGGAAGAAAACTGACTTATAATGTTCTATAACCTTATTTTTATTATCTTGTGTTTTCCAAGTTTTCTTTGGCTGTAAAATATTTATTAATTGAAATTTGGAGAGACTATTCTAAAAAATCCTGAGATTCATTTTCAATACTATTGTATATGTGTTAATGAATAGATCCTCTCTTGCTAAAACAATTTTCTTAATTGCCTGTGATAAAATTGCTAAATACAAATAATCCCAAATTTTTGCTTAAAGTACAAAATTCATATTTTCAAAGTATGTTTTGTAAAATAGCATCTCAAGTTAAGTAAATCTTAGTTTCTTTATTATTCTAAAATTATGAGTAATTACCTTTGATTTTGTCTTGAAAAAGTCTCCTGTACGCATATTTTTATTATGTTGCTTTTTGAAATTGTAGCACGTGTATTTTCTATATAAGCAAATTATTGATGATAAAAATTAAAATAGAATAGCATATTTGATGAAATATCTATGATTAGAAATACTCGGATTTTTTTCTTTCTGCTGAGATTCAGAGATTAAATAACTCCTAATTATCAATAGTTGTCTTGTCAAATAATCATATGCTTATTTTCTTAGAAGTGCTTCTACAATTCTAGCTGTCTGTTACCTTAAAATACAACTATAATTTAAGTTTTTCTGTATACTATTTTTCAGAGAATACACAGGAAAGACATTAAACTAAGAATAAATATTTTTATGATTAACTTAAAAAACTGTAGATTATGATATAATTACATGATGTGTGATTATATAATAAACATGTGGTTTTGATTTTACTCAGATTCAGAAGAGGAAATGAAAGCATTAGAAACAGATTTATTGACCAATATGCATACATCAAAGGTAACTTTTTCTTTTCTTTAACCCCGGGTTGACAAACGTATGAACTTTCATTATAAACATGGTGTTCTTTCCCTATAATAATAACTTCCCATCAAGATTGAAAAGTTCCTTGGGAGGCATTTCCTCTTCTGGGAAACTTTTAATTCAAAGTTGTTTAGTTAAGGGTGTTGACATGACAGGAAAAAAACTATAGTGACTATCAATCAGCATATTGCAACTTTAATTATTTGTGTGGACATGTATTTAAAGGAACTTGTTTCCGTATCTATATATTGGGTATAACGAAAGGTATACTGGTCTCAAGTTAAATGAAAACTAAGTGAATCTTCTGCTTTTTTTTATGTTGGAGAAATAAAATAACGTTCTTACATTAAAAATAATAGTTCTTAACAACCTGCGAAGTTGGTTGTAGATGTGGAAGAAAGAAATGCAAGAGCAAGCCGGGCTCGATGGCTCAGCCTGTAATCCTGCTCCTTGGGGAGGCTGAGGTGAGTGAATTGCCTGAGCCTGTGGGTTCGAGACCCACCTGGGCTACTTAGCAAGACCTCATCTCTACAATAAATCAAAAATTAGCCGGGCGTGGTAGCGCGCACCTGTAGTCCCAGCTACTTGGAAGACTGAGCCGAAAGGATCGCCGGAGCCCAGCAAGTCGAGGCTGCGGTGGCCGGGAGCGGCCGCTGGACTCCAGTCTGGGCAACAGAGTGACACTCCATCTCAAAAATAAAATAAAATAAAATAAAATAAAATAAATGTAAAAGCAACAGACTGACAAGTTGGAGCCTTTAACTTCTAATCTTGAAACTGTGACTGATGTACTATTTGATCTATTAACATTGCTTTTCTTTGTTTCCTTATTTTTAAATGCAGTGGTTAAAATTCATAATCATCTATACATTTACAGTTTTCTAATGAGTTTAAAATTTATGCAACTGTATTCTTCACTGTGTGTCTGGACTTAAAATCTCCCATAACAAATGTGGTATTTGTATCTGCTCCTTTCCCCCCCTACTTTTAGAGTCCTATGCTGGGGTTTTGAAAGTGAGTGTTCTAGTTCCCAACCTATACCTAGGAATTGAACTCAATTAGACTATACCTGACTACTATACTCAAATGAAATATTGATTTACTCAGAGTGAGTCAATCAGTGTGTATTTAATTGTAATATCAGGATACAGTTTTTTCAACTAAAAGGTGTTTCTCAAAGAAAAGCAATTTTTAAGGTGAGGTAGTTACCTGTTGCAATCATTGTTATAGCACTGCTGTACCAAATCTGAGAGCTCAACAGATGTTGTGGCAGACAAAACCCCTATTTGATTTTTAAGCAATATTTCAAGTCAAATTCTACCATCTTAGGTTTCTGTCCTCTAATTGAGTGTGTGTGTTCTAAGTACGTTATTCCCTAGCATACAAGTAAGATTTTGTTTGATGGCAGGTATGAAGAAAAAATATCCATTTTTGTTTGTGGTTGAGTGTCAGGCATTCTTATCTCAAAACTAACAAAGACATGTTTTTAATATGGTCCTTAAAATACATTTTGAGAATGTTTAAATGCTTATATATATATTTTCACGATAGTCCAGATGTACAAAAATTGACCAGATTGAAACCAAATGTTACTAAATTTGGAAAGTTTTATATCAGAAATGAGCAAATTTAGTTTAGTAATTAAAACTCAATGTTTAAATATGTTTAATCTTATGCTAACAGATCCCTGTTGAGCACTCAATCAGATTAACTATGGCTGCAATCTGTTCAACTCAGAGATATGAAGACAATTGAAATCAATAGTTGTGTTAGCAAATAGGATACATTGGAATGTTTGGTATAGATTTTACCTCTTCAATCCTCAAGTGAACATTGACACATAAATAATCTCCAAAATGTGATACAATTTGGCAATTGCTAGTATTTTGAGAATATATGAGAGAAGAATTGTGATTCTCTAGCCAAGATACTGCAAGGGAAAAATGATTCCAGTATATAGAGTGGTTTCATTTTTATCTATGGATAAATATAGGAAAAGTATAGGCACAATTAAGCCCATTTCTTTAATGAGGTCTTGGAATATAACTCTAAAACAGATTAAGAAAAAATGTGAATTTCAAAGACTTTTTTTATTGTGATAAGTAAGATACATCTATGATAAATGGACACCTAGAAATATGGTTATCTTAACTTTGCTGCCAAAATGGGGGAAAAGGCTCATTTCTTATTTTTTACTCAATTATCTTATCATTTGTTTATCTGTGATTCAATCATTTTGATAAGTACACAGTCTTGTGAAAATAAATACTCTAAGGTTATGATCATTTTAATCAAATTGTTACAATTTAAAGTTTCAATGAGAATAGTTTTTGATGTTTGTATGAGGACAACTCCATTATTAAAAGCTTCAGTAAGCTTCAGATTTCTTCTTTCCCATTCTGTAAGTAAAATATGTGAACAATTTCAATGTTAGAGTAAAGCTGTTTAGACATTGAAATACTACTGTGGAAATACATCTAGGATCAGGAAAGTCAAGGGAGATTCCAAAGTCTGAAATGAAAAGTTAGATAGAGATTTTTTCTTCTTACAATACAATTCTTTTTATTATCAATGCTAGTGCTTTGGTATAGTTTTATTATGAAAGATAATCATGGTACAGTATGCTTTCTTCAAACTCTCAGAAAGTGGCTAAACATTATAACTTTCTCTGCTCAAACTCAATGTCTTCCATACAGTAGGAGTTCAGTATATGTTTATGAACTAACAATGGGAATACAAGATTCATTACTAATCTACACATTTTGAATTCAAATATAAAAAACTTCAGGGCTTCACCACAGATGACTGTAATTATTTTCAATTTGGTGAAATCCTGGATTTCACCATCTGCTGAACTCATTTTGAGTTCGGCCTATTACAGCTAATATTAGTCATACTGTTTTGGTTGCATTTAATGAAGGAAACAAATTTGATCAGAATTTCATTCAGTATTTCTATCTCGGTTTAGATATCTTTTGGCCAAGGTTGCTCTCTCTGCTGTTCTTCTTAGGTATGACAGGGACTAATCTGACATTAAACAGGAGCGAGTGTCGTAGTGACTAACTGGAAGAAGGGAGCAATGATTAAAGCTGTTTCTTCATCTATAACAATATGTGTTCTTCAGGCAACACTAGTCCTGATGGATACATTATGAATAAAACTTTCTATAGTCAAATTGGTTTGAGAGACCATTGGATGCTATATTTGGCATCATTGAAGAACCACAATGATTATTTGCATGAAAAGTTTTGGAGGATACCTAACTCAAGAAGTCTTTAAATTCTCCTTAAGCTCATATTTTCCAATTTACTTGATAGTGGAAAATCCTTTTTAAAATTAATGCATGCAGAACGAGTGTTATAAGGAGCAAACTTTGAAAAACATCAAAATAGATGAACTCTAAAAAATTTTCAAAGCTAAAATTATAGTATCCCATTAGTTGGTATGATATAAGGTGTTGCTTCCACAAAATGGAAGATGTTGCCTCTACAATAGCTCCCATGACAGAAAAATTCAAGTAATGCTGAATAACCACATTCAAGGGAGTGTATTAGAAAAGATTTCCAAGCTGGTTGGAAATATTGTAGCGAATATCTTTGTACTCACAAATTTGCATGACTTGAGGGTAAAATCTTAATCAAAGAGTACACATGTTTACAATTTGAATACATATTGTCAAAACATCATTTAAGAATTTATAGCAAAAGAGACATTGCATGCTGGTTCACACCTGTGATCTGCAATTTCTTAGACTGAAGCTGGAGGATTATTTGAGCCCAGGAGTTGATCAACCTAGGCAACATAGCAAGACACTGTCTGTACAAAAAAATAAAAACATTAGCTGGGTGTAGTGGTGTGTGCCTGTAGTCCCAGTTACTCAAGAGGCTGAGGTAGAAAGATTGCTTGAACCCAGGCAGTCAAGGCAATGGTGAGACACAATAGTGCCACTGCACTCCAGCCTGGGCTACCTAGTAAGATGCTGATTCAAAAACACAAAATTAAAATAAGGAAGTTGTACAAAACTATACCGAGACCAACAAATATTTAGGTGAGGAGCACCTACTTATCTGTCCTGCTTACCTGTACTGCTTACCTGTCCTGGTTACCATTAAGTATACTTATAATTTTTAAAGTCTTCAATTAATGGTAGCCAAATTGAAACTCATTTTACATATTTTACATATATATATATATATATATATATATATATATGGTAAATGATTCTGTGACTTTTCTGCTCATATTATCTATGCAAGTTTCACTTTTTTTCTTTAAATCTTTAAACTTTGATTTTAGTTCAGAATGTTATGTTTTCATAGAAATATTTTACAAATTTATATATTTAAAATTATCTTTTCCTTTATTGACTCCGGTTTGGACAGCTGCTTAATGACATTTTTTTCCAGGTTTTTAAAGTAAATAATCCTATATATTTACACAGTATTTTATTTTTATTTATATTTAACCCATCTGGATATTGTTTGGCAGTACTATATCAAGAAAGATTATAACTAGATCCATGTTCAGATTTCCCCATAGCTAACAGTCCCAAAGTATTTGAAATGCAAACTTTGCTACATTCTATATACCCATATGTACATGAATCAGTTTTGAACATTATACTCTCTTCTGTTGTTGAGTTTCATGTTTATTTCTGCTCTATTAATTTATCCCACTGACCATGATAGCTTTACAATACATTTTAATATTTGACAGAGTAAGTCTGCTCTTATCTTTTTATTTTTCTAAATCGTCTTGGTTATTCTTATAAATTCTTCCTTCCAAATGAACACAAGAATTATTTTGCCAACTCCTCTTCAACTTCCAGTCTCCCCATATTGATTTGCAGTTGCCTTCCATTTGAAGAGTAAGTCAGAGAAAATCATCACCTGATATTATTGTTACTGAGTCTTCCCATCACGTATTTGTGGTCATTTAAATCTTCCTTCTAAATGTCCCTCAGGAAAATGGCATGTTTTCCTTTATCCAAGCACTTTGAATTTTTGGTTAATTTTTGTTAATTTCACAGTTAAGGTCCACATATTTTCATAATGATTATTGTTGACATGTAGGAAAGTCATTGATTGTGGTAATTATGGTTTCAGAAAATATCTTATTAGAAAAGAAAGGTAATTACACAAAATATTATAATTTGCAAAAATAAATTGGTCAGCTGTGACATGTGTCCTGTTGCTCATGACAGCTATTAATGTGGGAGGTATATTAATGGCCTCCCACTATTATAATTGTTCAAATCTATTAATATCATTTTATTCCTTGCTCCATTACACATTAACCTGAAATGTAAGGAAGTGAGAATGTATTTTTTTATTTTCATTTTTATCTATGATATACGCATACTTATTTATATATTTCTAGTCATTTCTATTTTATTACTTTCTTGTTCTGTGTGTGTATGTGTATAAGTGCATGTGTATATGTGTATAATGTAATCGCATTATACTAAATAGAGAATATGAGATTGTGGCATTATACAACCTTGTGACATTATGACACTAAACTAATAGCACTGTGCTTATTAGACCAGAATGACAGACCCTAAAATGTAATGTAAAGGTTTAGCACAATAGACATTTATTTGTTAGTCATATAACACAAGTTTTAATTGCAATATATTTATGTATATATATATATATGTGTGTGTGTGTGTTTCAGATCAGTAAAGGAAGAGTTCCTTCTTGGAAAATGTCCCTGCTAAATGTCTGCAGTCTTGTAAATAATCTGAATGGCCAAGCTGAGGAAACAGGAGAGGTTCCTGAAGAGGAGCTTGTTACAAGACGGAAATTTCCTACGGCTTTAGATGGCTTCAGCTTGGAAGCGATGCTGACAATATACCAGCTCCAAAAAATCTGTCACAGCAGGGCCTTTCAACACTGGGAGGTAAAGCAAAAACAAAATATGAATACACTTATACTAGTTAGCTCTCATTTGTATTGATTTTTTAAAAATCCTGATTATTATCATGGCAGGAAGTCTTACAGATATTAAAGAGGAATACTGTAGTGGCCGTGAGCGGCCACCGCACTCCAGTGAGACTCCAACTCAAAAAAAAAAAGAAGAAGAATAAGCCATGTGTGGAGGTCAACACTCTTTTACATCTTCAAAGTGTCCTTCCAATATTTAACGTTTAGTCAAATATATATACTTTTCAATTTTAAAAGAGGGACATCTCTTAAGGCAGATTTGATCCATGTGCTTTTATTGTGCTTACGTGGATGGCATACTTTTTGATGTTGTTGTAGGTGGTGGCATGGCTAAGAAATTTTAAAAACTCAAGATGTTTTCCTAGATACACAGTCATATGTATTATCTATCGACAAACATAGAACAACAAAAAGGTTCCAAATAAAACTGGATTAAAACACACAAGCTTCCATTTGTGGTTCTAATATATAGACAAATATAAAATCACTTTACTTATGTAAAGGTATAAGGTAGAGATATATATCTGCATCATTCAAGTCTTATTTGGAAACCTTTGTGTTCTTATTTGTTTGTAAATAAATACATATGACTTTGTGTCTTTGTAATGATGCACTTGTAAAACACTTTAAAATGTATTGCCATAATTGCTATATTTTGTTATGAAAGATAAGTTAGAACTTTGGAAAGTCAAGGAAAAATGCTGAAGCTAAATAAGAGAGAGGAAGAAAAATAAAAGTTTTAAAAAAATTTTACCTACAGGGAAAAGATTTTTTTTCAGATCAACCTCTAACATAAATTTGATTAGTGTTTTATATTCTTGATTGACACCGGCTCTGGGGATCTGAGGGTGCCTTTCCTGCTAATATAACAAACTTGTGACTAACTTACACAGATATACCCTGTAGATTAGAGAAAATGCAAGCAGGATTTCTAATGTTTATTCTAACTGGCAAGCAAAAATTTTTCTAAATGAAAAAACAAAAAGGCCAGTTTTAAATTTACTATCCATTCTTTAATTTCAGTTCCAGCTAAAATGCTTTAGTATTTAAAGCCTGTTTAGGTCTGAAAACTTGGAAAACACAAATTTTAGCATAGAACAATGTCAATTACATGCTATTTATCCAGAAAAAATATCAACAAACTGTTATGGAGAAAAATCATGTGGAAAAGATTGGAACTTTTGCTATTTTAAATGGCATGGAGTGATTTAAAAATAAAATGATAATATCATTCTGTGCATAGTACAAGTAATTACAGACTATGCACAAAGAAATTCAAGATTAAGGAACTAGATTGTCTGACAGTAGCTGTTTTTCCTTTTTTGAATTTGAATAGCTGTGGGTTGAAATAAAGTACGTGGTGATATTATTTTATTCGTATGCATAGCAATCTTAAGCTTTGTCTCTTGTCAGTCTTTGTTATAGTGACCCAAAGGTTTAGAAGACAACCATAAATATGAAGAAAATTTCTATCTTGAGCATTTAAAAAAATTTAATGTAAATTGTGTGTAAAATTCTGAAAAGAGTTCTTAAATATTTGATGCTAGGTAAAATTTTTGAGTCAAAACAGTATTATTAAAAAATATTTGGAAGTAATTTTAGAGCAGGACATAGTCAATGAGACGTTAGGTAAGATTCTACATGGAGCTTACCTCCCTTAAATTATTTAATCTGAACATTTTATTAAATGTCAAATACTACAATCTAGAGAGATCTTCACTGTTTAAGCAGAGCTTTCCCATATGCTGATTTTGACCACTGACAGCATTAGGCAAAACAGTCATTCCTCCCTCTATTGAGAAATGGATCCTTAGAATGGCTTTTATCTCAAGTCAGTAACTGACTTAAATGAACATAAAATCCTTTGTAACCAAATTTGGTTTATCAGATTCAAAACTATATTTGTTATTATATTTACCATTCTTGCCTTTCCATCATACATTGACGTCTGAAACATACTGAAAATTCTATTCAGTGGTTTCCTTCAACTGAAGGGATTAGCGTGTCGCCTCGAAGTATACAGAAATTGTTAAAAGGGGCTAGCCTGGTGAACAAGGAAGGGCACTGAACTCAGAATGATCATGTTCTTACAGTCTGTCATCTACTTGATGGCCATCTGTCCTTTGACAAAACGCTAGTTTCTTTAAACTTCATATGTCTCATCTACTTATACCTTGCTGTCTTAACATCTAATGAAATAAAATGTAGAAAAATATTCTGAAACAAAAGAGTGTGTGAGTTTAAATTTCATTTCTTAATCTTACAGTTAATTCAGGAAGATATTCTTGATACTGGAAATGACAAAAATGAGAAAGAAGAAGTCATAAAGAGAAAAATTCCTTATATTCTGAAACGGCAACTGTATGAGAATAAACCCAGAAGACCTTACATACTCAAAAGAGGTTCTTACTACTACTGAGAGGATAAAAAATTTGTTTTCATGTGATTGTGACTGATCCTCCTTTAATTGCATATCAAATTACATGTGTGTGAAATGTGGCAGAAAACACTTATTTTGTCTCTTCTACAACTGTAGTGTATTTGATGAGATTTTTCTGCATTGATATATAACTGGACTAAATGTTTTCAAATAAATCTAAATCTTCAGCATGATGTGTTGTGTATGATTGGGATAGATATTAATGAAGTCACATATAGAATGCTTTGTTATTTTGCAAATCACATTATGAGGTGTTTAGACAGTCAAAATGTTTGACATTTTATACTAAATTTTAAGATTTCAGTGCTACCACAAAGTCTAGACTACGTATCATTCACCCCAAACAAATAACATTTCTTTCTATTATTTAACTGAATGTTTCATTGAATTGACAGAAATACACTCTTTTGAAGACTCACTAATGCTTCTCTCAGATACAGAAAAAGTTATGGTGGTAAAATAGAGCTATTTGAAAGAATGGTTAATCAACTATTGTTAATTATGCCTATTTCAATGAATGATCTTATACTGTATTTTTGGTCTGTTAAGTGAACTTGATAGCTAATAAAAAGATAACAAGTCATCAGAATTATATGTCTCTGTGAAGATTTACTTCTGTTAGAAGATTTACTTTGTATTGGCGTTTTTCCTTTTCACATTTTGATTCAGTAAATAATGGTTTCATTTTTAATATCACTTGGGTATTTGTGTTACTAATTTTTTTCTCAATTAGGTGGGAATATTCTAGGTAAAAGCTGTATTTGAAACAAATCCTCTTAAATTTTCTTTAAGATCATACTCACACCGTCAGAAGTCCTCATAGCCTTTGCATTTCATCATTAGTAGTGTCTTGTGTTTTGAGCTTTCTTTTAAATAGGGGTTTAGAACAACCTCTCCTCACAAGGCTGCAACCCATTCTATGGTCATCTATGCGGGATAAATTCAGAACTTGAATTGCTCTTTGAGAAACCTTTATAACTCCACATCATTTTGAGAAAATTGTTCCTCTTTTATGTTTACTCCTACTCATAAGAGCAGCTTACATATCTCTGAGGTTTTCTTAGAAAACCATGACTTCCTCCTGTTTTACCATCCCACCTTCTTTCACCATCCCATTAAGATCATAACTAAAAAATACCCCAAATCCTAATTGTTAAGAAGGAAACTATTTCATAGTGATTAAGAGTGTGCTCTCTGGAGTCAGAATGAGCAGATTCAACTCTATCAGTCACTAGTAATCTTGGACAACTTATTTAACCTCTTTGTTTCTTTGCTTAAAAATGTATAAAATGTAGATAGTGATGGGGTTTAGGGAAAGATAAAATGGGCTGCTATATATAGAATGCTTATCACTTTGACAGGCCAATGTGGGAGGATTGCTTGTGTCCAGGAGTTTGAGAGTATCCTAGGCAACATAGTGAGACTTCATCTCTAAAAAAATTTTTAAAAAAAGTAGCTGGAAGTGGTGGTGCATGCCTGTAGCGCAAGCTCCTTGGGAGTCTGAGGCAGAAGGATCATCTGAGCTCAGGAGGGTTAGGCTGCCATGAACCATGGTCCTTCCACTGCACTCCAGGCCTGGGTGATAGAGTGAGATCACTACTCAACAAAACAAAACAAAACAAAAACAAAATATAAAAATGCTTATTCTTAAAATGGTGCCTGGAACCTTTAATAACACACAAAGTTAACATTTATTATTAGTGGTAGCAGTAATACCAACTTTTCCATAAGGAAATACTCATCAGGTATTGTACATTTGATATAGGTTTTTGTTTACATCATTAAAAGTTCTACCTTACAAGATGACATACCATCACCAAAGCTGTAGTCTAGGCCAACATCCACCCTTTTCCAACCCTGTAACTCATTTAACTGATTTGCTCTAAAATTCATGGTCATTGCTTCTTCAAATAGTCTTTTCAACCATTGATTGACTTTTACTTCACACTATATAACACAGGGTATGAAAGTGAAGTAGGTGTTTTGGTCACTTCTATACCACTTTTCCATTCCCCTTTAACAACTACAGATTATTTGAAATGCTGAGTATAAGACAATTTCATCAACTATGTTTTGAACAACCACTATTTTCTCCCTTCTCAGTTTCTGAACATCTTCACCTCCAATAATAAACACTTAATCCATTTCATCCCAGTCACTTCCATAGTCATGTCATAGAAAGTTTCACTACCAATAAACTCATTCCTTCCAAAATCTCAATTCAGGCACTCTACTAGCTAAACATTGTTTCTTTACAGTTCACAGAAATTAGCACTCCCACTCCAACATTAATGATTCTGTCTAATTCATTATCCCACCTCTTTTAACTATCCACATTCTAATATTGCCTTCATTTTTGTATTTAGGTAATTTAGCTTCTTTTGTCCAAAAGCAAAATTGCTCCCTTTTCTCAATTCACTGTGCTATATCAAATGACCCAGTTAAAAGACTATGAATTAAACTCAAATATCCCCTGACTCTGAGTTCAACTAAGAAGCTTAACACAGTTGGAGAAAAGTACTCAGTCTTGCTGAAGAGTCACCACTTCAAATATTTGATCACAAATCTCATGCGGGTCCTTATAGTTGCCTAGAATTCTTACTACATTTGTTTAATAAATTTCACCTCTAATTATTATGGGTGGCTGTTTCATACCTTCTTTTCTTCTTTGCATTGCAACTTCTTTCATCCTTCTTTCGTTGGATAATGTTTTAATTATTTTGCTAAAAATTAAAAACAAGAAAAAAAATTATAACATCCCTCTACCTTCAGCAAATGTAACAAACGCCCTGCCTCTGTCTCTCATTCTTTTTCTCCTCTTTCCATTTCAGTGAAGGACCTGTCTCTTTTCTTCCCAGGGTCACTTTTTCACTTTGCTGTCTCAGTCAATGTCTCCAATTCCTGCTCAGGCTAAAAATCTAATAATTTTTAATTTCTCTCTTTAAGATACATCTTCCATTTTATCCTCTTAGAAGTCTCATTGACTTTGTCTCCAAAACAAGTCTCAAATTTATTTATGTCTTCTCACATACTGTATTATTGTCCTAACCACTGTTATTCCCCCAGAACATTGAAAAATTATTCTTAGCCGGGCTCGGTGGTTCAGCCTGTAATCCCGCGCCTTTGGGAGGCTGAGGTGAGTGGATTGCCTGAGCCCACGGGTTTGAGACCCACCTGGGCAGCGAGACATCATCTCTACAATAAATCAAAAAATCAGCTGGGTGTGGTAGCGCATATCTGTAATTCCGGCTACTCGGAAGGCTGAGGCTGAAGGATCGCCGGATTCCAGCAGGTCGAGGCTGCGGTGGCCGGGAGCCGCCACTGCACTCCAGTCTGGGTGACAGAGTGAGACTCCAGCTCAAAAAAAAATATAAAGAAAAATTATTCCTCACTTCACTTCCAGCTGTCTATTTTATCTATCTATATCTGTATAATGTGAACATTTTAGAAAAAAATTTATTGATACATAATAGATGTACATATTTTCTGAGAAAGTGTGATAATTTAAATACAGTCATTTAACTTGTAAAGATCAAATCAGTGTACTGGATATATCCATCACCTTAAATATTTGTCTTTTTTTAATTCTAAGAACAATTGAAGTGTTCTCTTCTAACTATCCAATATATAAGATTATTGTGACCTTATTGATCTCTCGAACACTAAGTCTTATACTATATATTTGTATCCATTGATTACTCTCCTTTCATATCCTCCTGTCCCTATACTTCCTTGCCTCTAGTAACCACCAATCTACTCTCTATCTTTAGGAGATTCACTTTTGAAGCTCCCACATGAATGAGAATATTCAATATTTGTTTTTTCCATGTTTGACTACTTTACCTTAATATAATGACCTCTGATTTAATCCATGTTGCTGCAAATGATAGAATTCTATTATCCATTTATGGTTGAATAATATTCACACAATAACTTATTTTTAAAAAGCTATAAATTATATTATGCCACACATCCTTTCTCAAATAACACAATGAACTGGTTTCTGATTCAACAGGTAAGAAACTTAGAAGTTGCTACATCATCCCAACAACAAATAAAAAGCAGAACTAACTATAAAAATGACTCCTTTTCGATTTATAAAAGAAGAGTGGTCACAGGGCAAACTAGGTCCCCCAAAATTAGAGAAGAAAATAGGTAAAAACAGAAAATTCCAACTTAAAAGAGCATAAACCCATATGTAGTAACCTTCATGGAAATCAGTTCCAGGGTAAGAAAACTGAGCAGTAATCATCAAAGTGCTGGAAACTCAGTGTGGACAAATTTGAGAGAAAACAAATAAGCAAACAAAAAAACAACCAAACAAAAAAATCCACGGTGATCTAGTTATTGGAGGTCCTCTGTGCTTTTGTGAGTTTTTGCCATCAGGAGATCAATCTGTTTCTCATAGTGAATATTGGAGAAAAAAAAACAAAAACAAACTTCTTGTGCTTCTGACAGGGAGTGGAAAAAAGAAACCACTTTAAAATTTTCTCAACAAGGTCTGTTCTATTTAACTAGAGCCTAACCTGCTGGAATTTTATAAGAGTCTAGCTGATTTTAGAGAAAAAATATCCAGCTCCAGCTCACTGTAGTTATTCTGTCCTACTTAAGAAGGTGTGTGGAGTGATGGGAAACTAATTGAGAAACACATGCAACATTCACAATCCAGAAGCACAGGCTCACTAAATGACTGAGGTCTAACCATAGGACTAGAGAGCCCCCTCCTCCTCAAACCTTAGCACCCACATTACCATAGGCCTATTTTAGACTGCTCCTTTTACACAGTACATCATGTCAGACTATCAATAAAAAAGTTACAAGGCAGACTAGGGCATAAAAACACAATTTAAAAAATCAGATCAAGTGTGAGAACCTGACCCAGATATGGCAGGGATGTTGGAATTAACAAATCAGACATTTAACATAAACTTGATTAATATGAGAGGAGTTCTAAAGAATAAAGTAGACAGCATGCAAGAACATATGACTGATGAAAGCAAAGAGATAGAAAGGATAAGAACCATAAACAAAAGCTAGACATCAAAACACAGTAGCTGAAATGAAGAGCAGCATTGGTGGGCTGATTAGTGAACTGGACACTTTTGAGGGAAGAATCTTTGAGATTCCACATATATATTAATAGAAGCTCCCCAAACTTAAAAGAAAAGAAAAT